TGTCGCTTGTGTTGACTGGTTCGACGAACGTAAGGGGGTTCTATCTCGAGGGGAGGCTGCTTGCCTAAAGGGTGGGGTGCATACGTGAAGTGTCGTAGGGGGCAGGGGGTTGGTTGAAGGCGTGGGGTGGGCGTCGGTAAAGGTGCGTCGATGGGGGCTATCAAAGGGTGGGAAGCGCAGTGTGGGTGCGGCGTCGGCCGGTGGCGATGGAGGCGTGTGGTGCCGGTGGCTGAACCGCGGAGGAACGTAGCTGGACGCTGTCGGGCGACTGCCGGGTGGTGATGTGGGGGTAGATCTAAAGGTATGGGACGTGGGAGATAGAGATGGATTTTGCTTCTCTGAAGATTGCGAACGGGGGGAGAGAGACGAATAGTGGAGAGAGAATAGATCGGGGGAAAGAGAATGTGATTGAGGATATTTTTACAAGAATAGTTTCACCCACTCATCGCGCTCAACCTTACTCCAATCCAAGCTCATATCATGCCATCATCACTTACCAAGTAAAATGAGTATGCCTTGGTACGCAAGCATACCTATTTATACATTTATATATATATATAATATAGTATATATTATAATATATATATATATATATATATACTATAGTACTATATATATATATATTATCCATATATATATATATATATATATATATATATATAGATGGGGGTATGTTGTACCAAGCCACAAAATGTTGGTGCCTTGATAGTTGAGTGGCCACTAAGCCCCTCCACTTCATTCCAATGGTTGATATCGCCCACATGTACTCCTTGAACACATGTGATGAATGTTGGGCTGTCCCCCATTTGATATGAGGTGCTGCGATGCAGATTGTGCCACGCCTCACTTACCAACATAAAATTTGTGCTTGGTACCAGCATAACCAAAAATTTCTCATAATATATAGGGTATAATATTTATATATTATATATATTTCACTATTTAATATTGCAGTACTGGACAATGCTGGTGATGGATCCGATGATGATGAGATCCAACATGAGTATCTGCTGGGATCTTCTCAATCACAGATTGCATGTCTTCATCCATAGATTCCAGTAGTAACATGCATCCTATTATCAAAAAAAGCTATTTCCTTTCAATGAAAATGATAGAGGAACAATAAAAGGAGGAGAGACAAGATTAAAAAAGGAGCGTGTACTAAAGCAAAGTCTCGAAAAGGCAATGTCAGATAAGTTGAGGGAAATGGGTAATAATATCGTGGAAACTATTGAGATTTCATGGTTATTTGATTATTTAAGTTTATAAGAAATTTATTTTTCTCTTTATCTTTGTAAGGAATAAGGACCATGAGAAACCCGGTAGGCATGAGAGTGATCAACATACCAAAGTACCTCCTCAAGTTTATCAGGCCATTTTTGTGATGCCCCTGCTTTCATACATGGCTGCAGTCCAAGATAAACCCAGAGATGTCAAACCTATCATGCACCCACACCGTATAATAATATGTTTTGCCAATCACAGTAATATCCTCTAGTGGAATTAAATATATGTGTAGGTACAAAATAGGTAAAATAAGGAAATAAAAATAATAGACATGATATAGAAAGAGATATCTCATAAACGAAAATCATGTCTCAACTGAAATACATCTGATATCTAGAATAATAAAATTGTCTCAACATAAATCAACTAAAAATCATACTAAGGCACATTGCCTTTACAATATGAAAACAAAACTCTAATATCTGAATGAGAATATAAAACTATAGTAGAGTCTCAGCTACTAAAATTTGTGATGGTGATTATGCTAGAACTCCGTTATCCTGTGGCTCTCTAGAACTCTGAGCTGCCTGAAAAGGAAATTTAAAATAATAAAAAGATCAACAACAAGAGCTCAGAGAGCTATAGCAAGATCACCTCCATCCACCCCCAAGGAAAGGGCTGCAAAATAAAGTGGATGCTCTATCTATTAAGTATAGTCTACCTAGATTATTTTCCCCATATCTAATGGAATTAATATTTAGAAACCCTCACGTATATAATCCAAACAAGAAACCCTCACATATATACCAAATGTCTCAAATTGTAGATAACTAAATATTAATCCCGAACTAAGAATGAAAGGAAACATAACTAGAAAGATAAAGCATCGAAATAACCATCAGTATAGGTATCTCATGTACTCGCACAACAAGGTATCTCAGTCATCAAATATCCCAACAATGAGTCGAATTCACTTTTGGCATCCACCAAACTCAGGCTATCACATAATTTTCATATTGCAACTCTTCACAAAATTTCTAACTCATTGCATTATCATGCGCAATGGACTGCCCTGTAGGTATCCTAACAGTGTACACGACTCATTAGTCTCATCGTGATCTCAGTACTTAATATGAGTGTGAGATAGACTACCATATAGGTATCCTACGAGACAGCTCACAAGCCTTATTGTACCCCCGTGCGGACGGACTGCAAGACAAAGCATCCAAACCCGACTAAATGGCCTATGCAAATAGAATATCGACACACCACCATACGTAATACTAAATTGAGCTCATCAACGATATCCATCTTGTGTAAAAACTATGTATGTCTGGTATATCGACGCACTATCTCATATAGTACTGAGCTTTGCTCATCAACGATATCTAACATGTACTATCGTGCGACTCGAACCCCGTGATCGCATCTCAAAATAGTGCAACACATTGTTCAGGAAAAGTCTTAATAGTCGACTACTAAGCTTAGTAGTTGACTACACTGAGTCCATCCAGACTCTATGAGGCATGTATCAGGATTAGTAGTGGACTACTAAGCATAGTTGACTACACTGAGTCCATCCAGACTCTATGAGGCATGTATCAGGATTAGTAGTGGACTACTAAGCACATTAGTCGACTACTCTGTAATATTTACTCTATGAGGCATGTATCAGGATTAGTAGTGGACTACTAAGCACATTAGTCGACTACTCTGTAATATTTCAGTTTCTAGAAATCCAAACAGAACATGGGTAGCCGACTACTAAACTTTGTAGTCGACTACTTTGTCAAAACATGCATTCTTTCATGCATGAACAGAGCTTATCATTCATCATATACTTATCATGAGATTTAGTACTAATGAAAACATGTAATATTCAACAGAAATCATCCTGAATATGAAACAAATCTATTAACTTGTTCTAATTAAGGATTAACATCCTAATTAATCAATTTCCTCAATTAGCTCTTAATTAAACAACATAATTATCAACACTTGATGAAAACTATTCATGAAAAGAGGTGAAACTTCATTTATACATATTTATATGACTTAGGTATCACAAACCTAGGGTTTTAGCATGATTAGCTTACAAGAAAACTCAATTAAACAACTAATTAGGGTTTACTCATGAGTTAAACATAATTAACAAGTTAAAATGAAATTAACATCAACCCTAATAATCATGAATGTGTTTCTATCATCAACATTAAAGATTTCACTTCAGCTCTAGCATAGGGTTAAGATTTATCATCAAAAATCTGATTTTTATCACATTAGGTTATACTTAACCTTGAAAGCATCAATTAAACATCTTCAAAACTTTAACTAATTATAGAGATAGGTTTGGATGAAGATGATCTAGCCTCAAACATTGTGTTGAACTCCTGAACACGCATGCAAGATTCCTTCCTGTCAGAATCCACAAAGTCTTGCTTTTCTCTCGACAAACGCTTTGAGATCTCTCTCAAAACTCACACTTTAGGGTTAGGGTTTGAGGAGGAAGATGGTTGGTGTTAATCTCACGTGAAAGAGGGTAAAAAGAGCTTTAAAATGAGTATATGTACGCATATATACAACTTGGTTCGAAACAAAATAAATCCGACCCAAAACCCATAAGAAAACTAGAAATAGTCCAACTAGTCGACTAATACCCTCACTATTTGACTCATGGCCTTAGTAGTCAACTACTAAGCTTTGTAGTAGACTACTAAGAGCACAGATTTAGCTTATGCATGTTTCATGCATGATTCTCTTCTATACTCATATATATACATTGATATGATCTCAAATCAAATCCTAGCATACTCAAACATAAAAATATGTTATTTATAACCATATAACATATTTATTATTATTTATTACCATATATTAAAATTTATGAGGTTTTACATTCTTCCTTCCTTAAAAGAATTTCGTCTTCGAAATTCCGTAATCATATCTTAGAGATTAATAATATCAGAAAAGCACATTGAGGGGATAATCCATACAAGGAAAACCTCACATAACCTCACATACACATCTTGTACCATTAATCTCCAGATATAAAATAAAGCAACATCTATATTTAACCATATAGAATGTGAGTACTCCCACTTAACTCCTAACTAAGCTGAACTAGTATGTCCGACGAAAATTTTCTAATTAAGGTACCCCCATATATATACCATGTGTTTCGAGTGATTTAGAGCTAAGTGTCAATAACCCTATTCTAACAATAAATATAAATATGACCATATAGATAAGCATAAGCATTAATCAAATCAAAATTAGTCAATTTATCTACTCAAACAGGTGCGGCTAGTCACGACAGATATCCTCCTCGCGCTCCTAAGAAACCTCTTCAGCTCCCGTCAGATTCCATTGAACTTTGACCAAAGGTATCATTTTGTTTCTAAGCTTCTTGTCTTAATTAGCAAGAATACAAACATGAATCTCTATCGTAGTCAAATCATCATGAACCTCAAACTCTAGTGCGTCTAACACTTGCTGCTGCTCCTCATCGCATAAATGCTTATTAAGTATCGAAACATGAAAAACATCGTGTATACTCGACATCGATGCTAGAAGGTCTAGCCGATACAAAATGGCTCCAATGTGCTCAATAATCCTGAACGGACCAATATACCCCGAGTCTAGCTTTTCCTGTCTCCCAAATTGCTGAACTTCCTTCATAGGCGACACTTTTAATAATACATACTCCATAACCCGGAACTCTAATGGTCGTCGCCTCTGGTGTGCATAACTCTTCTGGCGGCTCTGTGCTGCAAGGATGTGATCCCGAATCACTGCTACCATCTTTGTAGTCTGTCTCACAAGCTCTTGTCCAAGTAATAGGTTGTCCTCGCTTCTGCCTAACAAATAGGCAATCTGCAAGACCTCTCATATAATGCTTCATACGGTACCGTCCCAATAGTCACTTGATAACTATTATTATAAGAAAATTCAATTAATGGGATGTGGTCCTCCCAACTACCCTAAAAGTTTATAACACATGCCTGCAACATGTCCTTTAATACTTGGTCACTCTTTCTGTTTGCCCATCTGTCTGTGGGTGGAATACACTAGAGTATGACAATGTACTACCAAAGGAATTTTAGAAACTCCTCCAGAAATGTGAAGTAAAAACAGAGCCTCGATCTGATACTATCGTCTCTAGGACTCCATGCAATCTCACGATCTCCTAGATGAATATTCTCACGTAAGTCTTCGTGGTATAGGTTGTCTTTACTGGTATAAAATGTACTGATTTTGTCAACCGATCAACTATCACCCAAACTGAATCGTTCCTCTTCTTCGATCTCAAAAATCTTACAATAAAGTCTATAGAAATATCTACCCATTTCCACTCTAGAATGGGTAAAGACTGTAGGGTTTCTACTGGTCTCTGGTGTTCTACCTTCACTTACTGGCAGGTAAAGCATTTTTCCATATATTCTACAATCTCCCTATGCATGCCGCTCCACTAAAAGTGTCTCTTCACATTCTTGTATATTTTAGTCGTTCCTAGATGCACTGTGTACCTGTGCGATGCGCCTCATCAAATAAGACTTTCTTTAGCTATGGATTGCTTGGCATCACTAATCAACCCTTCATTTGAAGACCTCCATCTGCTCCAATGGTCAAATCAGCCCTTGGCTCTTTAGAAATCTCCTCATTTCGGGTTTGAATTCAAAAGTCCTCTAGCTGAGCTCTAACAACTGTATCACTCTAAAATGGCTATACTGACAAAGCTCCCAAAAATGCACTACTTCCGCCAATCTCTGGTCTAAAGTAAAACTAGCTAAGATTGTTAAGATCTCGATACAACGAGCACCTCAGAGCCGTAATCTGATGCCAACGCTTCCTGCTTAATGCGCCTGTTGTAGGGTCGAAAAATTGATGTTGGGATTGATTTTCTTGTTTTAAGAAATGGGTTCGATCACTTGGTATGAAACCCTTACAATCACTCACACTCTCTCTCGATTATAGATGAAGAGAAGATTAATTCAGCACTTGGTATGAAACCCTTACAATCACTCACACTCTCTCTCGATTATAGATGAAGAGAAGATTAATTCAGTTTCTCTTTGTTTAACGTCGGTTCTTGGTAGTGAAAGGATGCTTTCCTTGATGCTTGAGTCGAGCTTGCCTCCCGTTGATGATCAAACCAAGATCACAAGAGCTTCTGACGTTTGTTGGCGGAATTGAGGTTCGAACTCCGAATCTGTACACAGAAACTTTGATCTCTGATGCTTCTCTCAGTCCAAGCTTGAAAATCTCCAATTAATTAATAATCAACCAACCCCTTTCTCTGTAGCCATCAATGGCTATTTATAGGAGTTTGAGCATGTAACCGACGTGCCATAATCGTGGAGTCGTGGGCGTAACTGATGTGCTAAATTTATGGAGTCGTGGCGTAACTGACTCCTGGAATCTAGCCCACATGGCTGACTGGGTCTTCATGACCGTTATAGCCTGATTTAATGCGGGTGACGAACTTCACTGTGTTGGCGAACCTCGTTCTCATTGCATGGCGAGCCTCGTGAGCTTCATCTTTACTGACGAGCTTTAAATCCGATGACAAGCTTTGGTTTCATTGATGAACTTCACCTCCGATGATGAACTCCGAACCTCGTATCCAATGACGAGGTTCGAACCTCGTATCCAATGACGAGCCTCATCTTTGGCAGCTAGAGTTCAACTCGTGTCCAACGATGAGCTTTGAACCCTGTATCCACTAGTGAACTTTGAACCTTATATCCAATGACGATATCCGAATTCCATATCCACTAGCGAACTTCGAACCTCGTATCCAATGACGAGCTCCGAGTCTCGTAGATCCGTTTCATTCAATAATAAACTTTATCTTTCAATGTTGAGTTCCGCTACATGGCGACCCTCGTTCTCGAGGTTGATCTTTTCTAAACGACGAACCTCATTTCTGATTGAGAAGGGGTTCGTTTCCCTGACCCTTCTTTTCACCTTTTGAATTTTGGCATTTTTTAATGCCTACAAAACCCCCCTTCAAAGTTTTTAGACTTGAATCGGGTTGTATGTAGTCTGAAATACTTTGAATAGGTATCTCGAACTTGAGGAGTTTACTTCACGAACCTGGTTTTGTCATGAACCTCGTGTTTGTGAAAGTTACTTTGTGGTTCGTTCTGGAGTCTGCCCCTTTGTACAAGCCTTGTCAGAATAACCAACGTCTGACAAATGACCCCTCGTAGCTTCGTCAGCACCACTGCTATGCACCTTTCCCAGACCTAGCGAATGGTAGCAAGCTGGTGATTGGAAATCCCCGTGAATCCCGTCCGTAGATCTTGTTGGGGAAAATTTTTATCACACGATCTCAACTGAAGATCACGACCCTAGATTCAATCTTTTCCCGCCCATATAAATGGGTTATCATAATATGAGAAGTCCTTTCTTCTCTCTTCGTCGTTTGGGATATCGGAACTCCTTCTCTTCTCAAAATTCCGATCATTCTTTCTTCGCAAGCTCTTCAAGCAAAATCAATGGCCCCTAAGACCGTTGTAGACCGAAGAAAGAGTAAGGGCAAGAAGGTTGCTGGCTCTTCGCACGAACCTGGCGTTCTACCCAGCTTTTCAGGTAATAGATCTTAAACGCATGATTTGCGTTCTGAGGGATGTCAACCCTGTCTATTTTAGACTTGGGTTTCTTGAGGAAGATGAACAGTTCCTTCCAGACTCATCATAAAGATAACGTCTTTTTGGCTGGATGAGGCTCGTCATCGATGATTCTCGTATCTATGACTTGTTTCGTCTTTCGATGAGCCTTATTCGTAAGTTGTACATCACATGTCCAACGTCGTTAGCTATTTTGACGAGGGTCATCCTCTAGAATTGTTAAATGAAATTCGTTTATATGATGAGCTTCGTCTTTTCATCGACCACGTTCGTTAGATTGGTTAACTTCATTTTCAGATGATGAACTTTGTGTTCTTCAATGAACCTCGATGAATTGATGAACCTCGTTATCCCTGTTGAGGTTGAATGAGCTTACTCGGCTAACGAAGTTTAACACTTCGTTGTAACACGAGGTTCATCCTTCGAACAAATTTCGACGTTCGTTGACAGAATGACCTTCGTATTATTTGGCCGTGACTGCCGCTCGGGACTAATCTTGTTTGTCTTTTTGTGCAGTCACATATCATTCTACTCCACTTCCCCAACGTGGTGATCTCGGAGAAGACGGTACTCAAACAACTACAATTCATCCTCGTTACTATGCTCTTAAGAGCATTCCTTTGTTCGGAGAACGGGGGCTAGAAGAAGTAGATCTTCTTTCTGACCCTTCACTTTCCACATTTAGGCGTATGATCACTGATGCTCCCTTAGAGTCTATCAATCGTGAACCTATTGTGAATCTTGTTCTCTTATTCGGAGACTCTTCAAAAGATCCTGACTTGTTGGATATCAGGACATATGAATGGCTTAGAACTGTAAACGGGTGAAATTTGTTCTTGCCTCGGATGGAGTGTGACGTCTCTCTTACTGCTTTGAAGATTGTCTCGGCTTCTAGGAGAATGGACTGGGATTTAACCTCAGTACAAGATGGGGTCATATGTGGCCACTTTTCTCGTAGCGATGCTAATATAGATAGTGGTGGTTGTTACATCACCGGACTGCACCCTGAGCTTTTTCAAAAAGAACTCCCGATTGGTGAGACTGCTGAAGAGGCTAACACCTTTGGTCGCGCGTTCTTTAGGAGAAATGGTCAATTCCCTGCTAAGGACTTTAGAACTCCAGGCTAGTCTCATTGGAGTCCTACACAATGGTAGCCTCGTATCACCGAATACATTTTGCAGGAGAACCAAGAAGACCTGCAAAAGTTTGGTCTTTATACGCCCATCAGAGCGACACAATTCGGGTTGATCAATAACTCCCACCAGTTCTTTGGTATTTTGGAGTTGTATAACCCTACAACCCATACTTTCTTTACTCCTGATGGAGAGATAGGGATTGCTCTTCACGAGATGGAAGAAGTCTCCGACTGCCAAACGGGAATTATCCGTATGAGGAGTATATCCCATGTCAACGGGAGTTAGTTGCTCTAGAGAAGGAGCAACCCCAAGTAGTAGAGACCTTCTGGGAATTAATGTGTCATTACCACATTTGTATGAACGTGGAAGGACAGCTTAATAAGAAGGGTGAGAGACTCCTTAGCCATAACATCTGGGCCCGATATCTCTTCAAGAACTTGGAGCATAAAAATAACCTGTGGTTCCCTTAGGTCCTTGCGACGCGAGTGAATTATCACGACGGGTACTTACTTATCCTCCCATGCATCGGGTATCGGACTCAGATGAATAAGGTTACCCTGTTGGTACCACCTTTGAGAGTTACTTCTTTCAAGGTGGAGAGCCTATTTCTTCCAAGGCTTTGCTGGCAGGGTATCTCATGCTATGGCTTCATCAAGTCATTGTTGTTTCTGGAAGTTTCGACTTGCTGCCAATGGAAGTGATGTTCCCTGCCGTATGTTTAGCGCACGGCCATTCTTATGTCCTCCTTCCTGCCACGATCGCCCGCATTCATTATGGATTGCAGAGTTTATGTTACCAATTTTGTCGAGGTAACGAGAACCCAAGGGTAGGGCTGCCCTACACTTATTTCATGGCCTGGGTTGTCCTACATTGTCCGACACTTATGGGTACACCTTCTGCTCGTACAGAGGGTGAAGTCATTCCCTTCATTCAGAGGTTGGAGAATTTAGACTGGGAGCACCATTACTTGGCCTTGGTACGACGTATTCTTCGCGACCACAAGAGATGGGAATTCAATCGCTGTTTCCCTCAT